GAAGCTTGGGGAGATCTGAAGGTGACTGTAACATACAGTCAGATGGACACTTCCATTCCCAGCCCCTCCTCCCTTTGCCAGCTGTTCCACATTTTATTCTCATGGATAATGTGCTTCAAAACAGAATCAGCAGGCAAAACATTTATTTCAAGTCACCCAGATTATCCCCTGTCAATGGAGGACTTTGAAACTACACCAGGCAAGTTCAGTAGGAACTTTATTACACCACTCAGCCATGAATGACAAATAGATGGCAATAATCTGGCTCCTCTCAGTCTAGTGCCACCTAAGGGTGAAACAAAGTAGTGGCATTATCCATGTTCCCAAAAAAATTAAGATTGGACAGAAATTTTAAGAAATTTAAAACAAACTCTAGGAATAAGGTGGATGGAATCCTATATTACACAGGTGAAACATAATCTTCCCCCTCTGTAGTTTGGCTAGATTGATTCAGAGAATTATAGAATCGTAGAGTTGGAAGAGACCTCATGGACCATCCAGTCCAACCCCCTGCCAAGAAGCAGGAAAATCGCATTCAAAGCACCCCTGACATATGGCCATCCAGCCTCTGTTTAAAAGCCTCCAATGAAGGAGCCTCCAACATACTCCAGGGCAGAGGGTTCCACTGCTGAACGGCTCTCCTCATGTTCAGGTGGAATCTCCTTTCCTGTAGTTTGAAGCTATTGTTCCACGTCCTACTCTCCAGGCTTCTTCCCTCCTCCCTATTGCTTCCCCTCAATTACTGATACATGGCTATCATGTCTCCTCTCAGCCTTCTCTTCTTCAGACGAAACATGCCCAGCTCTTTAAGCCGCTCCTCATAGGGCTTGTTCTTCAGACCCTTGATCATTTCAGTCACCCTCTTCTGGACACATTCCAGCTTGTCAACATCTCCCTTCAATTGCATTGCCCAGAATTGGACACAATATTCCAGATGTGGTCTGACCGAGGCAGAATAGAGGGGTAGCATGACTTCCCTGGAGAGTAACACTAGACTCCTATTTATGCAGGCCAAAATCCCATTGGCATTTTAAGCTGCTGCATTACATTGCTGGCCCATGTTTAACTTGTTGTCCATGTGGGCTCCAAGATCTTTTTCACATGTACTGCTATCTAGTCAGACATCCCCCATCATGTATCTCTGCATTTCATTTTTTTCTGCCTAAGTGGAGTATCTTGCATTTGTTCTTGTTGAACTTCATTTTGTTAGTTTTGGCCAATCATCTCTCTAATCTGTTAATATCATTTTGAATTCTTCTCCTGTCTTCTGGGGTATTAGCTATCCCTCCCAATTTGGTGTCGTCAACAAACTTGATGATCCTGCCCATACAGAAGGTAGCTTTCCACTGTCAAATTCTGCCCCTGTGTGGAAGTGTCTGTGCAGCATCTGGCTGCTGTTCTGTAGCTCTTAGAAGAGAGAAGATATTGCCCTCAGGGATCTCCAGCAAGCACTGGCTGAGTGGGGATTTGAACCAGTCCATAGTCCAGCACTCTCTAATGCCCCTCCAAACTATAACTCCATGGCAGTGGAATCATAGTGCTAGAAGTCTATACTGTAAAAGGGCCCTTGGAGAGATCTGTGACACATGTGTTCATTCATTTAAGTATTTTTCTGCAGCCTTTGAAGAAACTCAAGGTAGTGCAGAAAGGATAAATGAGGGTAGAAAGTACAAATGCAATAATGGCAATAGCTACCACTTACCAAAAATGTCTGGAAAGTAGCAGTAATGGTTAGCAGTGCAACCTGAAAGCCCAGACCAGCACAGCTGTCTCTTAAAAGAAATGCAAACAGACAGGTCTTTAAAGACATGCCCCAGCCTAACCCTGGCTTGGTCAGTTTAAGCATTTTCCAGGTTATCAAATGACATCCACATTTCCTGGGCTTTGTCAACCCACAGTCATAGCTTTTGACACTTCTTACATTCTGTGCCAACTTTCAAACTGCTGACTTTTAAAGTGGTTTTCAAACTGTGATTTGGACAGAGCTTGTCCAGCTAAATTTCTCCATTTTCTCCTGGTTGGGAGACTGGAGAGGTATGAAAACGAACTTTTCCAAAATCTACTATTTACCAGTGAGCTTTGATTTAAATCAGTGAAATGTTGTTGGCTGTTGTGTGCCTCCATGTTGTTTCTAATCAGTGGTTCTCAACCTGTGGGTCCCCAGGAGTTTTGGCCAGAAATCCCAGCTGTTATGATAATTTGCACTGTGTAAACCACATTGAGTCGCCACCTGAGGCTGAAAAATGCGGTATAGAAATAAAGCAAATAAATAAATAAATAAATAATAAATTCTGTGAATTGCAGGCCAAAACATCCGGGGACCCACAGATTGGGAACCACTGTTCTAAATTATGGCAACCCCATCAGAGGGTTTCCTTGATTCAAGATTTGTTCAAGGGGGTTTGTCATTGCCTTCTTTTGAGCCTGAGAGAGCATGAGTTGCCCAAGGTCAGCTAGTGGCTTTCATGGCCAAATGGGCATTTGAACCCTGGTCTCCAAAGCCGCAATGCACTATTCCACACTGTGTGGCCAGAAGCAGTCTTAGTACTTTGTAGGTCAAAATCAATACCTTAAATTGAATTTCTACAACATATTCAAGGACTCCACACACAAGAGATGCACATCCTGCCTTGACTGAAGTCGGAAGACACTGGAAGCCATAGCCATTGTGTATGTAATCATAGAATCATTGTGTTGAAAGAGACCTTGTAGGCCATCCAGTCCAACCCCCTGCCAAGAAGATGGAAAATCGCATTCAAAGCACCACCGATAGATGGCCATCCAGCCTCTGTTCAAAAGCCTCCAAAGAAAGAGCCTCCACCACACTCTGGGGCAGAGAGTTCCACTGCTGAACAGCTTTCACAGTCAGGAAGTTCTTCCTCATGTTCAGGTGGAATCTTCTTTCTTTCCTGTAGTTTGAGCCATTGTTCCTTGCCCTAGTCTCCAGGGCAGCAGGAAACAAGCTACCTTCCTCCTCCCTATGACTTCCCCTCAAATTTTTATACATGGCCCTCATCATGTCTCCTTTCAGCCTTTTCTTCTGCAAGCTAAACATGCCCAGCTCTTTAAGCCGCTCCTCATAGGGCTTGTTCTCCAGACCCTTGATCATTTTAGTCACCCTCCCTTGGACACATTCCAGCATGTCAACATCTCACTTCTATTGTGGTGCCCAGAATTGGTCACAGTGTATTTCCAGGTGTGGTCTGACCAAGGCAGAATAGAGGGGTAGCATGACTTCCCTGGATCTAGACTCTATACTCCTATTTGTGCAGGCCTATTAATGCAAAACAAGTACAGGGGGCATCAGGTGGAAGGATGCGGGAGGTACAGTGAGCAAAGATGCATGAGTCCAGAAGGAAAGATAATTAAATGTGGGCAAGGAGGGACCAAAGGCACGAGAGACAAATGGGAGGTGGCTACATTTGTCAGGAACAGTCTAAATAAAGATGGAGAGCAGACGGAGGGAGGGTGTGAGGTAGAGGAAGGGAGAGGAGGATGTGGAATGAGATCACAGAGGGCTTTGAAGGACAGAACAAGGAGCTTAATGTCTGGAGTGTGGCAGCTACTGTGGAGACATGATGCGTCTGGGGCATCTGGAAGCAACCAAGGATGTTAATCAATCGTGGTTTTCTTAATGTGCTTTCGGAAGGAGCAAAGGTGTGATGGAGATAAGAAGCTGCACAAATGCACTGATAGAACAGGATTTCATCCTTGGCAATTGAGGGAGGAAAGGCGTAGGTGGAAGGACAAGGAGTATGAAAAGCTTGCTGGGATGGGGCGGAAATAATGAGGTAACAGCGGCTGGGAATGGACACTTTGTGCTGGCAGGGATCAGGGGGGTGGAATGAAAAGTCTGCATCAACAAAACCTGGTTTGGATAGACTACCTAATCTCAGAGTTCGGCGAAGTTAATTTTTTTGGACAGACATGTCAACAATCACATAATGAGCATACCTAGTGGCCATTACTTTTTTTAAAAAAAGTAGAATTATTAAGTTTTGCAACATGCACTATTTAAGCCAATGATTCCTGAACTCCAAGCCTCGTTTGTGAGTTTTGGGCTTCATATTCCAGAAGGCTCAGCTGTTTTGGCCAACGATCAGGGGTTCTGGGTGCTGAAACCCAAAACACCTAGAAGAACAGAGTTTGGAAAACACTGATTTATATTGTTTTAACTGGTTTTGCATTGAAAAATTAGAAGGCTTTCTGCCATGTCCTCATCTCCCATCACCAGGATGATGGTGGGCATGAAAGAGAGTCTTCTCCTGTAGATCGTAAAGCTTTGCTTGGCTCATGTAAGGAGATAGTTTCAGATAGATTGGATCTAAGCCATGTAGGATTTTAAAGCCATGAGCAGCACTTTGAATTCTGCCCATAAATGGATCAGCAACCAATGAAGTTGGTGTCTCCATTGATAAATACAGTGGGATCTTAATTAATGTGGCTTGGATCCAGGACCATCTCCTTCCCCAATTGATACTTAGGTAAAGATAAATGTTTTCCCCTGGCATTAAGTCCAGTCGTGTCCGACTCTGGGGTGTGGTGCTCATCTCCATTTCTAAACCGAAGAGCCAGCGTTGTCCGTAGACAACTCCAAGGTCATGTGGCCAGCATGACTGCATGGAGCGCCGTTACCTTCCCGCCAGAGCGGTACCTATTGATCTACTCACATTTGCATATTTTTGAACTGCTAGGTTGGCAGAAACTGGGGCTGACAGCGGAAGCTTACGCCGCTCCCCGGATTCGAACCTGCGACCTTTTGGTCAACAAGTTTAGCAGCTCTGCTTTAACTCACTGCGCCACCGGGGGCTCCACAATTGATACTTAAGCCCAATTATATACAGTGGTATAGTAAAATGGTGTCCCTGATATATCAAGTTTTGTGTGGGTTTTTTGGGGAGGAGGGTGGTATTTTACGCAGTGGTTGGTTGAATCTGTGGATGTAAAATCTGTGGAACTGTAGCCAGATAGACTCATTCATTCCATGTGTTTCCTTCTAGGGCTCTAAATGAGAATATGGCCAATGGCATTGAAGACCTTATTGGGATCCCATTCCCAAACCACAGCAGTGAGGTCCTTTGTGGCTTGAATGAGCAGCGGCACAACGGCCTTCTTTGCGACGTCATCCTCATTGTTCAGGACCAAGAGTACAGGACCCACAAATCTGTCCTGGCGGCCTGCAGCCAATACTTCAAGAAACTCTTCACTGCCGGCACTTTAGCAGACCAGCCCTGTGTTTACGAGATAGATTTTGTGAAGCCTGAAGCACTTTCGGCAATCCTCGAGTTTGCCTACACCTCCACTCTCACCATCACCACCGCCAACGTCAAGCACATCCTCAACGCAGCCAAAATGCTGGAGATCCCATGCGTAATCAATGTCTGCTTGGAAATCATGGAACCAGTGGGGGACGAGGAGGAGGAAGAGGAGAAGGAAGAGGAAGAGGAGGAAGAGGAGGAGGAGGAAGAGGAGGAAGAGGAAGAGGATGAAGAAAGGGAAGGGGAAGTAGAGGACTTTGCAGCCCAGAATCTTACAGATGCCCAAGATGGCAGCTGTCACCAAAGTCCATCTAAATCTGACCTTGCTGAAGAAGTATATTCAGAAATACAGAATGGTTTTTCCAGCCACTTCCCAGCTGGAACACCTAATGGAAGCCTGGGAACCATAAGAGACTTCTCCATTGAGTCCCTCCTAAGGGAAAACTTGTATCCCAAAGCTGGCCTTCCCGAACGGAGGCCAACTCTGTCTCCGTTTGTGCCCGACCTCTTCCCCCATCTGTGGAATGGAGATTTTGGCACCTTCTCCCAAGTTGAGGAGGCCCAGTTGGACAATGGGCCCTTGGATCTGGTGATCAGAAAGAGGAAAATCAAGGAGGAAGAAAAAGAGGAGCCATCTCCGCCCACCCCTTTTCCCAACAGCCTCTTCAAGGATATGTTTGGCAGCAACCCAGCTAGCCATTTGGGACACATTAAGGCCGAAAATGACTATAGTGCTTACCTGAATTTCCTCAGTGCTGCCCATTTTGGCGGGGTCTTTCCTCGATGGCCGGAGGAAAGGAAAATCAAACCCAAAGCTTCCCAGCAGTGCCCCATCTGCAACAAAATAATCATGGGGGCAGGGAAGCTCCCACGACACATGAGGACCCACACAGGAGAGAAGCCATATATGTGCAGTATCTGTGAAGTTCGCTTTACCAGGTCTGCCTGATTTATTTATTTATTTAAAAAGCAATAAGTTTCCTTTCTCAAAGAGCAGTTATGAGGTGCCTAGCTACACATTTTATCCAATTATTTTTTAGGATGACATGTTTGAGTTGCCTCTTTTGCCTTACATCCTCCGTTGTGTCTTGTGAAGTAGGATACACCAAGACAAAGTGAATGTTGAGGACCAGGATTTTCAACCATGGCCCTGTAGAAGACTCTGTCCAAGTCTTGATGCTCCAAATCTCTTAGGACATATGTTCCATTATTTTAGTCCAAAATTAATTTTAATCTAGACTTAGATGGTTAGCCCATTCTGGGTTAAACTTTAATCCATTCCAGGTTTTCACCCAGCCCTCAAAGCAGTGTTTTCAACCTGTGGGTCCCCAGGTGTTTTGGCCTACACCTCCCAGAAACCCCAGCCAGTTTAGGATTTTTGGGAGTTGAAGGCCAACACATTTGGGGTCCCACGGATTGAGAACCACTGCCTTAAAGCTATCCATGGTACTGAACACTAGCTTTTGAAATGGGTTCAGCACTTTGGATAGTTCCTTTCACATCTCATATTCAAACATGGAATGGATTCACTATCCCACCATCCCAGAAGTCCGCCAGCCACCCTGGAAAGAGACAAAAGTTGGACACCCTGCTCTTACCAGTTGTCTGTGGGTGCCTTTCAGGAATCAGCATCTTCCCCCTCTCTGCTATATGCCTCCATATCCTGGTTGGAGAGTATTATTATGCTAAGAGACTCCACTCATTAGCCATTAATTATCATCTGCCAGCACAGACCTTGGGATTTATTTGCCTGGGCAGTTCAATTTAATTTGCAGGAGCATTTCAAGGAGTTTGTGAAAGAGTGCTGCAGTGGAACTTGAGCAGTGAAGGAAACATTGCAAATTCAAAGGCGGCAAACCTAAGTCTTTTTTGGGTGAAATAAAAAAGGAAAGGGTTTTCTCCAAGAGCTGTACCAAGCCACAAAATATCTTCTTCTCCCCATGCAGGTGATGACCGGTAATGCAGGTGAGGAGTAATGATTGTGGCAATGGTGTCACTATCGTGACTAAATAGGAATCATGAATATGGAGCAGTTATGGATGCGTAACTTTCAGATTCATGAACACTAATTAGTCAAAATGGGGAGAAGGCTGCATGGGGTAGAAGGAGGTCCATTCTGCTGATGACCGAATGCAAGAAAATGATATTTCCATCGTGTTGGAGAAATCACCCCAGGAGGGCTTACTTATTTAAGTATTCTGAACTAAGTAGCTGGTATAGAACACTGTCAGTGTATCTTGTTTTGCAAAGCCACTATCACAATTCCTCCCAAACAGACATCTCTTTAATTTGGACTACAACTTCCATCACACCTAACCAACATGGCCAGTGGAAGTTGCAGTCCAAATATCCTGGAACTCATCAGAGGAATTCTTTTTTTTTTTTTTAACATATGCAGCAAGAGACAGGACTCTTGCTGAAGGGCATGACAGTCACAGAGTTGGCAGTGATGGATTGAGACAGAAAGAGGAAAACCAAGAGTTTGGGGTTGGTTCTTTTTGGACTACTACTCCCAGACTCCCTTAGCCAACAGAGCCATTAGTGAATGCCAATGAAGGGCAAAATATTTGAAATTATGTATGGCCTGGAGTAGGGGATAAAAGGAACGTGTCTTCCTTTCTTATAGTCCTAGAACTCCAAGTCATTTGGTGACATTGATTGGTAGGGTTTTGATATAGACAAAATTTAGTATTTCTTCATACAACATATTGTTGGCCTATGGAATGCCATGACTAAGATACCTTTAAAAAGATGTTACACGCATTTGTGGAAGATGAGAGTCAATTACCTGTGATGGCTATCTAAAACGTCTATAGAATCATAGAATCAAAGAGTTGGAAGAGACCTCATGGGCCATCCAGTCCAACCCCCTGCCAAGAAGCAGGAATATTGCATTTAAATCACCCCTGATAGATGGCCATCCAGCCTCTGTTTAAAAGCTTCCAAAGAAGGAGCCTCCACCACACTCTGGGGCAGAGAGTTCCACTGCTGAATGGCCCTCACAGTCAGGAAGTTCTTCCTCATGTACAAAAGCAGTATGTCAGATCACCAGAGAGCATATGGTGCTACCTCAAATGTATCACACCATATTACTTGATCAACTCCACAGCGTGAGATAATACTTCCTGGCAAATATAGGAATTGGATCCAGAACCTCCTCCCTACAAAGCATGTGCTCTTCTTCCAACAAGTTGCAACATTTCCTTGCAGAGGAAAGGTGGGAGGAGACCTGAGCTCAGAAATATTATTTTATTGGACTTCTGCTCCCAGAATCTGCCAGTCTATACGATTGGTGGTTTACAAGTTGGAAGTGGGGTTTCTGGGAAATAGCCCAAAGAGTCATTTTTCTCTGTAGAAGTGTATTGCTTTCAACCCTGCTTGTGCACTCTATTAGCCCCCTCCATTGTGCAAAATGTCTTTCTAAAGGCAGAGAGACCTTTGGTCCAAATTCAGCAGGGTTTCTTTGGGTGGATGTGAGCAAATGTTTTTTCTTGACTTTGCTTCAGCTGAGAAAATGGGCGGGGTGTCTCCACTGTGTTCAAAGTAAGCACTATCCAGTGGCCACACCCGGAGTGCAAGTGAGGCTGGAGCAAGGAGGGAGATGTCATGCAGGTTGCCTGTGTGTCAAGGTGGCACTTGGATAGAGGACAAAGGCAGCCGCAGCTGTCTTCTCCTGGGTTCTTATGACCCAGTTTTGTCAGCCATTGTCAGAATTGCACAGAATTTGTCAATCCATTGCAAAGGCTTTTAGTGGCCAGTCAAAATATGCAGTACAGTAAAAAAAAAAATAGAACATGCATTGGAAAAAAACTGAAATATTGTGTTGGTTTGAGGGGAGATTTTAGGAAAACTTTCCTGATGGCAAGAGCTGTCCGATAATGGAATATGCAGACTCTGAGTATGGTGGAGTCTCCTTATTTGGAGGTTTTTAAACAGAGGCTGAATGGTCATCTGTCAGAAATGTTTGGATTGGATGGTCTTTTCCAATTCTATGATTCTTCGGTCAAGCCATGACATGGTATAGTGCCATCTAGGATACTCTTATCTCTCAACTAGACACCACTTGGGGAACGCTCTTCTCCAACATGTTGGTTGGAGTCCAAGGATATATGAAGGCTTGCTTGTGATTGCCCTGCAAATGAACACCAACCGTTGGCTTTTTTGGAACCTGGCAGCTGACTTTTGCAGTGCAACATATCTGGAGGGCAACACAGTGGAGGGACTGATACTATCCTTGTAAGCTTACTTTGTGTAGAGCCACAACTGATCTTTGTCATCTCCCAAGTTCCCAGGATCTGGGACCAGGATAGAATCATAGAATCATAGAGTTGGACGAGACCTCATGGGCCATCCAGTCCAACCCCCTGCCAAGAAGCAGGAATATTGCATTCAAAGCACCCTGACAGATGGCCATCTAGCCTCTGTTTAAAAAACTCCACAGAAGGAGCCTCCACTGGGGCTAGGGACCATCTAGATCAGGGGTCCTCAAACTAAGGCCCGGGGGCCGGATGCGGCCCTCCAAGGTCATTTACCTGGCCCTCGCTCAGGGTCAACCTAAGTCTGAAATGACTTGAAAGCACACAACAACAACAATCCTATCTCATCAGCCAAAAGCAGGCCAACACTTGACATTGGAATACTAATAAGTTTATATTTGTTAACATTGCACCTCATTTTAATTATTGTATTGTTTTTAAGTGTTTTTTTACACTACGAATAAGATATGTGCAGTGTACATAGGAATTCATTCATGTTTTCTTCCAAATTATAATCCGGCCCTCCTACAGTTTGAGGGACTGTGACCTGGCCCTCTGTTTAAAAAGTTTGTGGACCCCTGATCTAGATTAAAACAACCATAGGTTAATGGCCTGGTAAGTTTTTACTCATAATGAGGTCTCTCTTTACCACTGCCATGTTGCATGTGATCTGAGGAGATCTGGCACCTCAGCATCTCATCTCAGGCCAGAATAGTGAGATGAGCCCACCACCCACTGACTGTGGTCCTTGTGTGCAAAGGTCTATCTGGTCCAGCATTCTGTTCTCAAACTGATGAGCCACACACCTTTGCATCTTGCAGGGCTGTGTGGGGATGGCAATCTGTCTGATTTCATTTTTCATGCAAGAATGAATCATTTTCAAAGTTTCCTCTTCACTGTGAGGGCAGGTATTTAACATGTTTTGGTTTTTGCATTTTGAGACTTTCTTGTCAAAAATTCATTTTCTGAGAAATCTTGATTTTATGCAACAACCAGTGGTTTTTACACATAACTTTTTGGCACAGTTCTTCACAGAGAGGTTTGGGAGTGTGAAAAAACGTTGCAGTAATATTTACTCAGTGGGGTGACTGAATATCTTGCCACACCCTTACAAGATAATGTACAAGTATCTTTGATGCCCTTAATGTAAACAGGCTTGGACAACACTGAATTATGTGATCACATCACTCCAGGACCTTAATGCCTTATGAGTGCTGGCATGGACATGAGCCACAAAGCACCATGTGTAAACTTTCTAGAGCAGTGGTTCTCAACCTGGGGTCCCCAGATGTTTTGGGCCTTCAACTCCCAGAAGTCCTAACAGCTGGTAAACTGGCTGGGATTTCTGGGAGTTGTAGGCCAAAACACCTGGGAACCCACAGGTTGAGAACCACTGGCCTAGAGACTATGTTGTTACAGAATGGCACAAATGACACCCTCTTCATTCATGCTTGCATATGCTTTCAGCCTGATTATGACTTTATATCAGACTTCTTCCTGGTCTCATACACTTCTGTGTGCATTTTCCACCCTGCAGCACCATTTGTACGTCCTATTAATCTTTGCTCTAGGTTGGTGCTCTGTTATAGATTTCTGCTGCCTCCTAATGGACTAAGGTGCTCACTGCTCATTTGCTACTTTGGATATAGTCAGTGTAATATCTGATAGCAGAGCTGTGCTAAACCGGTAGTGCGCTGTCCTTGAATGGTGCTGGACAGCACATTATTAAATGCTACCATAGCACAATGTATGGAAAATGAAGAACATGGAAAGCTGTCACTGTATTAATTACATAAGTGAAATGCACTACACAGATAATGTATGCAGCATGCATTGATACACTGAATCAGGTGTGTCCCTCTTCTTTTTAGATGGAGGTGTTGAAGGGATTTCCCTATTTTCAGCTGCTTACTTACTTAGGCGATCCCTCGTTTTCTGAGGATGATTGTCTTCCAGTGTTCTTGTGGGTCCGTATGTGGCTGTGGAGCCCTATTCTTGACCTGCATCTTCTTCCGCAGTGAGGGCATTGGTTCCAGGTGGAAGGCGGTCTCGGTCGTGGTTGGCTTGACGCGCCTTCCTCTTGGCACGCTTCTCCCTTTCGCCCTCCATTCGTGCCTCTTCAAATTCTGCAGCACTACTGGTCACAGCTGACCTTCAGCTGGAGTGGTCAAGGGCCAGGGCTTCCCAGTTCTCGGTGTCTATGCCAGAGCTTTTAAGGTTGGCTTTGAGCCCATCTTTCAATCTCTTTTCCTGTCCACCAACATTCCGTTTTACATTCTTAAGTAGAGCAACTGCTTTGGGAGATGGTGGTCGGGCATCCGGACAATGTGGCCGGATTTGATGGCGGAGGACCATCGCTTCAATGCTGGAGGTCTTTCAGCTAATCTGTATCTGTCAGGTAGTCCCTTTCACTGATTTCTGATGGCCTGAATTTTTTAAATTTTGGTAAAGTTCAAAACTAGTATAAGCACTTCACTGAAGCATTCGTCACTATTGCAACCATTTATAAAGGAGAATGAGTGTGATCTTTGGGCCCTTCCACACAGCCCTATATCTCATAATATCAAGACAGAAAATCCCACATTATCTAAGTGTGGACTCAGATAATCCAGTTCAAAACAGATATTGTGGGATTTTCTGCCTTGATATTCTGGGATATAGGGCTATATGGAAGGACTCTTGGTCACTCATAAGTTACTGCAGGTGCATTATTGCTCATGTGCAGTGATTCTTGTTGGAGAAATCCACTTCTACCATCATCAGCAGGATACATCTACTCAGCATTTTCCAAAAGGAAAAAAAAAAACCCTGTGTATGTCACAAAGAGGATTCTAGACAAAGAGTGCAAGTTACAGCTCCAGGATAATAAATGATTTTGAACTCCATGTTCATTTAGACTAGTGGTTCCCAATCTGTGGTCTGTGGACCAGCAGTGGTCCCCAAGAATGAAAATATGATCAGTAGCCTCACCATTACTACACCGTTGCCTTGAAACCACGCGGCAACGATAGCGACTGGTCTCACGAAACCCTCTTATAGTGCCAAGGCAATGGAGATGTTGGGAGGGGAGAGACTGACTACCCATGAAAGTATTGTTGAAAGCTTTCATGGCTGGGATCATTGGGTTATTGTAAGTTTTTCAGGCTATATGGCCATGTTCTAGAAGCATTCTCTTCTGACGTTTTACCTGCATCTGTGGCAAGCATCCTCTTGGTTTGCGGCTACACATCTTCAAGATGCAGGATGGATTTTGGCTCCCTTGAATCCATTGCAGTTGCTTGAAATAAAGTCCCTTCATTCCAGTTGTCCACATGGATTCACTCATCTTCCAAAGAGAACAAGGTGAAATTGACAGCATAGCCAACATTTTATGCTGAGCACAATCAACTTCTCTGCCGCTGAATAAATTAAGAAAATTAAGTAAGAAATAATAAGCATTGTTCTTACTTGAGAATATTAAATAAGAAAGGTTAAGCTTTCCCAGGATTGGTTGGGGATGCGGTGGGCATTTCCTGGAGGTCTTCTTTGAAAAGAAAGGTCCAGTAATCTCTGTCAGAGACATTTTAGGAAACATTTATGAGCTCACATAACATCACGATATCATAAGGTTGCCTTAGGAGTTTCTAAAGCTGCTGTGATAGTAGAAATCTTGAGGATTTGCATCTACAATGAGGCCTGGATAGTAATTATATTATATTATTATATTATTAGAGCACTAATGTGCATTAGGGGTTTTCTTCACACACTTTTGTGGGCATTAGTGGTCTAGCTGTCTCAATTTGAAGGTAGCTTCAAACTGCAGTAGATGGTCAGTATAGATGAGGCTTTGTATTCTGGGAGTTGGAAGTCAAAAATATCTGGAAATGCAATGGTTCCCCATTCCTGTGATAAATGGTACATTGCAGGTGCCTTCCAGCTTTATGATTCTGTGTATTTTCACAACCTCACAATGACAAGAGTCTCTTGTGTCTTCTTTATTTTCAGGCAAGACAAGCTGAAGATCCACATGCGGAAGCACACTGGAGAAAGGCCCTACCTCTGCATCCATTGCAATGCTAAATTTGTCCACAACTACGACCTAAAAAACCACATGCGTATCCACACAGGCATCCGTCCTTATCAGTGCAAGTTCTGCTACAAGAGCTTCACCCGCTCAGACCACCTTCACCGCCACATCAAGCGCCAGAGTTGCCGGATCTCCCGGCCCAGGAGGGGACGGAAACCAGCCACATGGAGAGCGGCGAGCTTACTCTTTGCACCGAATGGCCAGCCAGATGACAAAAGCTTCATGATGCCTCCAGCTCTAGAAGAGATGAGCAGCCATCTCGGCAGCGCAGCGATGTGCCTTCCCGGACCGAGCCCAAAGCATTTTCTGGACGGGGCCAAGAATGCCCTGAATTTACAGGAGCTGGAGAGCCAGTTTGAGGAAACCCAAATGAAACTCTTTGGGAGGACGCACCTGGACATGGATCCTAATGGCGGACTCTTTGCCTTTGCACTGGGCCACAACGACAGCCTCTCGGCCCGACCGTTCTTCTCCCTCCCCGATCCATGGAGCACGGGGTTCGGTGGACTGACGGGGCTCAGCCACCTTGGCCCCATTACAGAAGCTACCAACTAAGACACCTTCTGGCCAATGGATGGGCTTGGTAGGTCCCGTGCCTTACAATGTATATATATATATATTCTCAGTATGATTACCAAGGGGGTTGGGGAGGGGAAAAAGACAAGAAAGAAAGAAATGAAAGGAGGGAAGGAGGGGGTATGGAAGGAAGGAAGGAAACACAGAATGTGAGTGTGAGCTAGCTCTATTGAGGGTCCACTATCTGATATTCCAAAATCTGAAATACTCAATTGTGCACAATTGTCCACATGAGTGGCTGAAATAATGACACCTTTGCTCTCTGGTGGCTCAAGTTCAAACACTGTGTTTCATACCCTAAATCCCCCCCCCCCCCTTGAAAAAAACATCTAAAATCCAAAGGCCCTTCCACACAGCCCAGAATATCAAGGCTGATAATCTACAATACCTGCTTTGAACTGGATTATCTTAGTCTACGCTGCCATATAATTTGGTTCAATGTGGATTTTATACAGCTGTGTGGAAGGGACCCAAGAATATCTTCTGATGGGTTTGCGATAAACTGGAAATGACCCGAAGCCACACCACAGGAAGTGTGAGAGAGGCAAGTTTTGGTTGCTTTAAAAATGGTAATTTGCAGAACTCAGAAATTTTGTTTTGTTAGAACTGTAAACTAGTTAGGAGGTCTTTTCCCCAAATAATAAAATTTTTCAAGTTCTTCAATTTCTTAGAGATCGGTTAATCATTGGAAACCAGTCATAATTGTTTTTATTTTTTTAAATCCATTGAATGCTAGATTCGGGAAACAGGTGTAATACAAATCATGGCAATGATGATGGAGAAGAAGAATTTCCTTCAATCTTAGAGCTTTCCCTCAAACCTTGGAGACAGAGTTTTGTAGGTTGCTGTGAGTTTTTTGGGCTGTATGGCCATGCTCCAGAAGCATTCTCTACTGATGTTTGGCCCATATCTATGGCAGGCATCCTCAGAGGTTCTGAGGTCTGTTGGAAACTAGGCAAGTGGGGTGTATATATATGTGGAATGTCCAGCATTTTTTCCAAATGAAGCACAGAGTGTTTGAGGACCGGGACATCCATAGAGATACCAAGGTGCTTGTTTATAAAGCTGTTGTCTTCCCAACCCTGCTATACATCTGTGAGATGTGGACTGTCTACAGACATCACATGCAACTCCTGGAACAATTTCATCAACATTGCCTCTGAAAAATCCTGCAAATCTCTTGGGAAGACAAGCGGACAAACATCAGCATACTGGAAGAAGCAAAGATCACCAGTACTGAAGCGATGGTCCTCTGCCATCAACTCTGCTGGACCGGCTATGTTGTCCGGATGCCGAACCACCATCTCCCAAAGTAGTTGCTCTACTCCGAACTCAGGAACGGAAAACAGAATATTGGTGGGCAGGAAAAGAGGCTCAAAGCCAACCTTAAAAACTCCGGCATAGACACTGAGATCTGGGAAGCCCTGGCCCTTGAGCGCTCCAGTCAGCCGTAACCAGCAGTACTGCAGAATTTGAAGAGGCACGAATGGAGAGAAACATGTCAAGAGGAAGGCGTGTCAAGCCAACCCCAACCGAGACCGCCTTCCACCTGGAAACCAATGCCCTCACTGCGGGAGAAGATGCAGATCAAGAATAGGGTTCCCCAGTCACTTACGTACCCACCGATCTTGGAAGACAATCCTACAGTACGCCGATCTTGGAAGACAATCCTACTTGGACAGCGAGGGATCACCTAAGAGAGAGAAGAAGAGGAATGTCCAGAGTGGGAGAAAGAACTCTTTCCGGCTTGAGGCAAGTGGGAATGTTACAATTGGCCATCTTGATTAGTATTGAATAGCCTTGCAGCTTCGAAGTCTGGCTGCTTCCTGCAGTTCTTTCTCCCACCCTGGACATTCCACAGATATATAAACCCCACTTGCGTAGTTTCCAACAGACCTCACAACCTCTGAGGGTGCCTGCCATAGATGCGGGCAAAATGTCAGGAGATAATGCTTCTGGAACATGGCCAACTCATGAAATTCTTCGACAACACAGAGTTTTGTAGCTTTCCTATGTCAGAAGTCGACTGATCATTCTTCTTTCCCATTGTAGGCCCTCTTCAGCGCTGCTCCGGCCCCCTCTTGCGAAGGGATTCATCAAGATTAAGGACTGCCTTTTTTTTTCTTGTTGAAAGACTGTGTTGCAAATTGAACTGCCCAGCCCTGTTCAGACTTCAGAAAAAGACATCTCTTCGTTGTATCCGATCAATATAGAAGAAGGAAAGCAGAACTGTTCCAGCATACGACTTCTCCCTCTTCTTTTTCTTTCATTTTTTAAACATGTACAGATAACAATTTCTGACTGTTTTGCAGATGACCATTTTCTTCAGGTTGGGAGGTTTGTTTGAGGTTGGATCGCCTTTGTAAACAAAGCAAACAAACAAACAAAAGTAATGGTGGGAGGGTTGACCTGCAGTTTGGAGTCCTTGTAAAATATCCAAAGATTCTGAGTACTGTATAATCTGCAAGAACTTGAAAAACAAACAAATGGGGGACCATTGGGCGGGGTGGGAATTACGTTTCTTGATTGTTGGGATGGGATTGTGTGTTTGGGAGGGTGGAAACTCCTTTGGAATTTTTCTATTTATAACTATTTTTATGTGATTGCTTTACATAAAGGAGAAAAGAGAAAAAATACAGCATATAGCAGATTTGCCTTAGATAATCAAGGGACAATCATCCTTAACTTTTGTTGAAGTTTTAGGTTTTATGTGTATGTGTGTTTTTTTAAAAATACAAAAGAAAGATACTTTTATGTATTTATTAAGCAGTATTAATTAATGTTATTTAATTATTGGCAACATGCAGGTTTTTTGAAAAAATGCATGGCTAGAATCCTGTTGGGCGGACATATGGCTTCATAAGCGGATTTGCGTCTGGGGGAATTAAAATTGCACAGTCCTGTAATTTCCATATCTAGTAGAGATATACTGTTACATTACTAAACCAGCAAAGTGCCCCATGCGCATTGGTACCTGATGTTCCCTGGGACAGATGTGCCTTGGTCCCAGTGCACATCAGATTGGTTCTCATGCACATCACATGGGTCTTGATGCACATTGGACACTCTTGCTGGTGGCCCATGAAACATCTTCACATCTCAGTAAAGGGATTTATTAATGCCTCTGCTGCTTAGCTAGCTAAACATAACGTTATATAATTGTTTTTATGTGTGTCAGGAGCGACTTGAGAAACTGAAAGTTGCTTCTGATGTGAAAGAATTGGCCGTCTGCAAGGATGTTGCCCAGGGGATGCTGAGATATTTTACCATCCTGTGGGAGGCTTCTCTCATGTCCCTGCATGAGAAGCTAGAGCTGACAGACGAGAGCTTATCCCAGACTCAAACTGCTGACCTTTCGGCCAGCAGTCCTGCCAATGGTTTAATCCATTGTGTCACTGGGGGCTCCTTATATAATGTCACCAGTCTAAGTAATGTATCATGGCCTTAACTGACCATTGTTGGAGCGAGGGGAATGGAAATATTGTCCTCTAATTTGTACCCCAATTGGAATCTGAAATCATTACCTTCATTTGATTCAGTTGCTGGCTCTTAAGGTGGACTAGGGTAGCATTTACTTAGTTTCCAATTAGACTAAACTGTCAGCCTTCCACATTTACTGAGGTTAGTGATGAAGCACCCTACCAGCATGAATTACTACAGAAATTTCTAGTAGGGAGGTTGACCATAGACTCACATAGAAGACCTCAAATGCTTTGAGAAGTGTTCTCTCTAGGAATCTCTAGGCCCTCTAGTGCAAATCTGAAGCAGAAGTTGACCATATGGTCATGTTAAAGGAGCTAGAGCAGTGTTTTTCAACCTTCCTAATGTCACAACCCTTTAGTGCAGGTCCTTATGTTGTGGTGACCCCCAACCATAACATTATTTTCATTGCTACTTCATAACTGTAATTTTGCTACAGTTAGGATTCATAATGTAAATATCTGATATGCAGGATGTATATTCATTCACTGGACCAAATTTGGCACAAATACTAAATATGCCCAAATTTGAGTACTGGTGGGGTTGGGGCCAAGATTGATTTTGTCATTTGAGAGTTGTAGTTGCTGGGATTTATAGTTCCTCTACAATCTAAGAACATTCTGAACTCCACCAATGATGGAATTGAACCAAACTTGGCACACAGAACTCCCATGACCAACAGAAAATACTGGAAGGGTTTGGTAGGAATTGACCTTGAGTTTTGGAGTTGTAGTTCACTTACATCCAGAGAGCACCGTGGACTCAAACAATGATAGATTTGGACCAAACTTGGCATGAATACTCAGCATGCCCAAATGTGTACACTGGTGGAGTTTGGGGAAAATAGACATTGAAATTTGGGAGCTGTAGTTGCTGGGATTTATAGTTCACCTACAATCAAAGAGTATCCTGAATCCCACCAATAGAACTGGGCCAATTTTCCCACTGGAATCCCCAACATTAAAGGGACTCACTGGCACGAGCCTCCTTTCCCATCTCACATGTTCTCCCTCGCCCGCACATGTGTACCATGCTGCCATGCGCCAAGCATGCCTACTCTCCCCTCTCCCCTTGGAGTCTCAGCCTTCACCTTGACTGAGAGGCCATCTGAGAGGCTGGCCAATCACAGTGGAGGAGGGCTTTTGGTGGGAGAATTCGCCGTCTGTTTCCAAAACGGAAGAGAAGGACAGAGGGTGAGATCTTCAGACTTCTCTGCCAAATGGATTCCTAAGACCATCAAAAATATGTTTTCTGATGGTCTTTGGTGACACCACTGAAACCCCCCCACAACCCCCCCCCCCCCCAACCACCACCAATGGTTCCAAATCCCAGGTTGAGAAACACTGAGCTAAAGATTCCTAAAGAGAACATAGTAATCAAATCCACACATAACCAAATCTCCAAAAGTGAAACTTGCAAATGTGGAGAGTTAGTTGTATAGACTTACTGACTACAATCCGGGCAAATGCAAGCTTCCTCCGGACAAACATTGCCAAGAAAACCCTGGGATAGGGTTCCCTTTGAGTTGCCATAAATCAGAAGTGATTTGAAGTCACACAAGAACCCCTGACTCTTGGAGACAAACCCGTAACTGCAATACTGGATACCAGCTGATATCTTTATGATGCGTGCATTCATGGGCATGTTTATCACATTTATACTTTTCCTTGTGAAATACACACAGTTCAGCCTAGAACGTATTGTTGGTCTTAACAAAACTAGACCCGTTGAGTTCACTGGGGTTTACCAATGTGTTGACTCACCATTCAACAATGAATGTAACAGGATTCAAGCCCTAAAGTGTACATTTAGAACGAGGCAAAAGCTGTTAATAAGCTCATAACAATTTCAGTTGTCTTGATGTCATTCCATTTGATTTAGGGACCCATAATTCGAGCAGTACTTTAAACGGCCTTTTAAATGTGACTTTGCACCTTATTAGACTATTGATTGTTAAAAAGAAACAATGGATGCTGATTGTGTTACTGTTGTTAACAAGTTAAGGTTGATTGCCCCTGGATGATCTGGTTTGGATTATATGTTAACTGGTTCATGGCTCAGTTCGTTTTCTGGTGGAAGAAAAAATACACACTTTTCATGCTCTCACTGTTTCTTGATCTTTTCCTGCAATGCAGTGGTGTCAAAACCACTGTCTATTATGGGATGGTTAAAAAAACCCTTCTGAGTTGTCCTTTCCATGTTTGCCTGCCTTCTGGGATACAAGCGCTCATGATGTCTCTCATGGCCTCAGATTTTTAGATTCCTACAAAGTTCTGCTTTCATTGGCTTTTCTTTTTAAAAGCACCATTCTTGAATCTATTGTTGTGGAAATGACATTTAAAGAGTTCATCGAAGACATCCACACATTTTGATGCAATGACATCTACTATCAAATATGGATAATAATAATAATAATAATAATAATAATAATACTTTATTTATATTCTGGAGCCCCCGGTGATGCAGTGGGTTAAACCCCTGTGCTGGCAGGACTGAAGACCGACAGGTCGCAGGTTCAAATCCGGGGAGAGGCGGATGAGCTCCCTCTATCAGCTCCAGCTCCTCATGCGGGGACATGAGAGAAGCCTCCCACAAGGATGATAAAAACATCAAATTATCCGGGCATCCCCTGGGCAACATCCTTGCAGACGGCCAATTCTCTCACACGAGAAGTGACTTGCAGTTTCTCAAGTTGCTCCTGACACGACACAAAAAAAATTTATATTCCACCCTTCTCACCCCAAAGGGGACCCAGGGATGATCACAAGTACACATACATGGCAAACTTTCAATGCCATTTGTATAGACTGTACACAGACAGACAGCACAGAAGAAGGTGTTGTTTCGATGCCATGGACGATTGGGCTCAAGTTCACAGGGGGTGCTGTCACTCTATCCTCTATGATGAAGAGCCATCAGGATCTTTTGCTTTCTGGCATTGCAAAAAACCTCCCCCACTTTTAGCAGTACCTAACTGCTCTAATTACAGTTAAAGCTGTTTCGAACTCCTTAGGTAAACAGTGAGCAGGGCTGACAGTCAGCTGCCCATGCCGACCTGGGGCTTTGAACTTGCAACCTTTCGGTTGATAGATCTTACAGTTGCTGATGATTTACCAGCTGTGCTAAACCTCCCACCCCTTGGATCCCCTGGTTTGTGTTGAGGGCTCCCCATGCTGGTCTGTAATAGTTTTTCATCTGATGTATTGAAAGTGACAACAAACTCACACATAGTCTGGCATCCTTGGAATGAGTAGCCCTTGGTGTCTCTTCCAATTTCATGATTCTATGAATTATGGCTCTCCAAAGAACAAGCCCTATGAGGAGTGGCTTAAAGAGCTGGGTATGTTTAGCCTGAAGAAGAGAAGGCTGAGAGGAGACTTGATAGCCATGTATAAATATGTGAGTGGAAGTCATAGGGAGGAGGGAGCAAGCTTGTTTTCTGCTACCCTGGAAACTAGGACGCAGAACAATGGCTTCAAACTACAAGAAAGGAGATTCCATTAAGAAGAACTTCCTAACTATGAGAGCTGTTCAGCAGTGGAACTCTCTGCTCCAGAGTGTGGTGGAGGCTCCTTCTTTGGAGGCTTTTAAACAGAGGCTGGACTGCCATCTGGATTGCTTTGAAGGAGATTTTCCTGCTTCTTGGCAGAATGGGGTTGGATTGGATGGCCCACGAGGTCTCTTCCAACTCTTTGATTCAGGGAACTTATGCACCCATCCTAGCCTTTCACAGTTGCCCACACTTCAATAAGATTTTCTTTGGGCTGAAGACAGAAATGTCCAGGGCTCGTCCTAAGCAAGATAAGATCAAATCCACATGTGCAATATAAATTACACAGACCTGATAATGGCACAATATGGGGCTATCTAGCTACGGCAGGTGGGGGGACAAAAAAGCCGGTTGTGATCTCTTCCAACTATCACCAATTAACATCCTTGTAGGAGGATGGAAGCTGTAATCCAACATATCCGGAAGGTAACCACTGCTGGAGAAGGGTTGCCTGCATATACCTATGCATTCACTTTGCTGGTATCATGTCTACAAAAATTGTTAGGTGCTTCACAAGTAATGTTGTCTGCAGCTCTTTCCTGCCATCTTCTGGCCAAAATCTGCAGAGACTTACGAAGTTTGCTGTTGTGCATATACTGGGATTATTGTGAAGATAGGAACCCACATGACTACCCAAAGGATGGACAGTATTTCTTATTTGCGCTACAGCTCTCAGAATCTTCTACTTGGCAGGGGGGCAGCCCCACACTGACATTTTATCCAGGCTGATGTGGAGTGTCAAATTCTAGATCAGCCCCCGGATGGTTTTGATTGCCAGCCTCCTTACCATTCCTTACTGTCCTTAGGGAGACCTCATGTCACACCCAACACCAGGTGTGACATGGTTAGTGTCATAAGCCAAAATGATGCAGGAGTGGGGAATTGTCCTTCCTTTCCCTTCTCCCGTATTAGATTGTCCTTACATCCTAGGACCCTTCCACACAGCTATGTAACCTAGAATAAAGGCAGATAATCCACAATATCTGTTTTGAACTGGATTGTCCGAGTCCACACTGCCATATAATCTAGTTCAATGTGGATTTTATACAGCTGTGTGGAAGGGCCCCCAGTCACTGCAGTGAGAACAGGAGGGGGGTAGTGAGTGTCATGCTGTGTTCCTGTACTGCTCAGGCCCAGGAAACATGGGTGGTTGCAGGCCCGTAGCCAGGATTTCGTTTCGGGGGGGGGGGGCTCCAGCCCCTCAAGCCCCCCCCCCCCCAGGCTACATGCCTGGGTGGTTGTGTAAACAGTTCCATACCGTTCCATCTTATAATTTGCCCAACTG